TATTAGCACATGGAATGATCAAGCCCAAAAGTTCTGCACAAAATTCTTCCCACTGGCTAAGATAGCAAAATTGGAGCATGATATATATATCTTCCGTCAAAGTGAATCATAATCTTTCAGTTAAGGTCGCAATAATTAAAATTGAACTAAACCAATCTCTATGAGGCAACATTCGAACTCAAAATCCACTTTATTACTCGTTAACGAACCATATACTTGCGGTGATTTTGATTCGAAGTATATTTGAATATAATGCACAAATGGGAGGCAGCCGATTCAAGCTTCAGTTTGGGCTTTCATAGTCAATTTGGTTTTGGTCCAGCAAAGTGTTAAGCAAATTCCAACAATTATTTTTGCAATTTCCCTTTTAAAAATAAAAAATGAAAATGAAATGACAGATTGGTCTATGTGAATGTGGAATTTTTCGATAATAACCAAATCAAAATGGTCAATTACTGAGGTCATTCACATGATTTTGAGATGCCGTGTGCACGATTTGTACAAAATATAATTGTAAAAATAATAAGCAAGTGAGAATGCACCTATAATTAGTCATTGATAGGACTATTAATAACTATAATTAAAAGTGATAACGTTGACATATAACATATTTAATTGATGAATTTGTTTGTTAAGATAAAACAAAGAGCATGTGATTATTGTAAAAGAATAATAATGTTTTAGCTTCTGAAGTTGCTTTCTTATTATTCATATTCAAATACTGAAGAAGATTTACTATCCAAACGAAAAAGATAGGTAGCATTGAATAATACTAATTAAAATGTTTTATTAGCGATTCAATATTCCAAATAAAAAATAAATAAATGAACCATAGAAACATAAGATGCCACGACACCATATTCCCCTCGCAAGGAATATAGTTATACAGATTACTGCCAACATCTCGTTATTGCACCATGTAATAAACCATGATTTGGAAGAGAAATGATATCAGAAGCTAGACATTGAACACTGCTCAGTAAATCAAACCCCACCTCTATTAATTGAATTCGAAGTTGATGTGCGAAATGGAGTCCTTCCCATTGATGGCTTCGTGTTTAAATAGAATAATTTCATCATTAGATATGATCGCCACCAGTTAGAAGTCAATAAACTCACTTAATTCATATTCAAAGTATCTTGATTAATTGTTTAATAAAATTAATTTCTTCACGATTCCGTTATTTGAGCTAAGTAAGCGAATGGTACAAAATTGTATCTCATTCGTATATGAATTAACTTTCATAAACCATAATTAAATAACATAATAATTCACATGGTAAATAGAGCGTCTGTGCGACAATAACTTTGCAGACAGTTGACAACTTATTTACTTGAACAGTTCGAACTTTACCCATATATCAGAATCATATATTTCATTTCAATATTAATAATATAATAAAGTATTTTAATTAATATGGTTGAATACTACACGACTATCTTTTTCGTTTGAAATATTAACTTTTCTTCAATATTTGAATCTGAAGAATGATAGAGGAACTTCATAAGCTAAAATATTATATAAAGATTATTATTCCATTACAATATTTCATGTGCTCTTTGTTTTATCAATTATATGTCAACGTTATTGTTAATTGTTATTGTTAGTTATATAGCTGTCAATGACTGAGCGCAAAATATTTTACAAATTCTCTCCACAATAAGAATCGAAAATTTTCATACAAAGCAATACACAAATTTTTGAAGTAAAAATTTAAAAAAAAAAAAAAAAAACCCACAATCATATTAAATCCTTAGAGTGTGTTTGATGAACATTAAATGGAAATAATGCATTTTTTTGTGACGTGACGTTGAATACGTGATTGAAAAAGAAGAAAAAGTAATTGATGAAAAATATTGTTCACTCTTAAATTTTAATAGAATATTTGGATAAAAACCGCCAACAGGGACAAGATGTGCTATAAATGAAAAGTTAGGGATAAGAATACTGTGAAAAAAGTCAGAGACAAAAGTATGCCAATAAATAAAAGAAAGAGACATTTAATACAAATAATATATTGTACACTTAATAACAAACTATGATATCAATATAGTCGTCTTATCATTTTCATAACATTTTCTTCCCACAATAATGTCCCATAAATCTCATCATCATTTTAAAAATATTATAACCACTTCCATGGGCAAATTTACGGGAATATTTTTTAATTTTTTTCCAACTTCTCTCAGACCCTGAATTTCATTCTTGTCCCAATTTCTAGGTTTTCTATTTTTCCTAAATAATTGTCATTTCCTACTCAACTCATCGATAACTATAAGACATGTCACTTTTTTCTCCATTTCATCACCACTCCTCAAGAAGAAACAGAGTCGAGTCAAAACATAATAGAGGCCAGGGGAGGAGCCAAGAAAAGCCGTTGATTTTATTTACCTCGTACTAATTCGAACATTTTTTTGTTATTTATTTCATTTCATATTAGTTATCTGAGTGTTACTATTGTTTTTCTTTTAAATCTTGTGTGCAAAGGTCGCTTGATGGTGAACTAACTCTAGTTGATCCAGAAATCGAACGCACCTTTAATTGTAGGCTAAGGAAAGCAAGGGCAGCACAACAAAAAGACTACAAACAACAAATACAAATGGCTAATGAGCAAAATAATCAAGTAGTTCTGTTTAATGAAGACAAAGATGTTGATGCCTGTTGGGGATTTCATGACACCACATATTATTAAAAGTCAATCCAGTATCGTCTGCCCTCCGTTTGGGCAAACTAATTTCCAGCTGAAGACTAATGTCATACATATATTAAATGGACATCAGTTTTATGATAGAATTGAAGAAAATCCTCATACACCCATCTCTCAATTCTTGTAAATGTATCAACATTTTCGATATTGGGGTATTTCAGATGATGCTATTAGATCGAGGCTGTTTCCACACACTTGGGTAGAAAATTGACATTTTCCATGAAAAATAAATACAATAAAAAAACCCTTAGTTCATTTATTTTTCCTTCTTCTTAGGAGCATCAAGAAAAAAAATAAATGTTTGCTATGTACGTCATAACAATTAAATAATAAATAATAATAACAATTTTAAAAGTACCCCCAGCGATTTACATGCGTTCAGTCATTGATAGCAATATAAATAATAATAACATTTTGAACTTTTAGCTCTAATATCATATGGAATCTTGAATAGGTATCTAAGAGCCTGTTTGAGCCCTGTTTTTAGAGAAGAATGCATTTTGTAATAGTAGATTGATGGAGAATTTGAGATTAAAAAATAAGGAAAAGTTTTGGATTTACGTGTAATAGTATTTTATTGAAAAATGTGTGGTTAAAAAGAAGAGGAAAAAATGTACTTTGAAAATAATGAGAACCAAACAAGTGCTAAATTTAAAATGGTTAACCTTGCCCTTGCTTAAGAGTGATATTTTAAACTTTTATATATTGGTTGTTATTTTCATAGTTAAGCGAAAGGTGAGTTAAGAGTAGAGGTCCCACATTTCCATTCAAGTATAAGAGAATATGTCGAGGGTGCTTTTGGTTTCAACAAAGATTTGAACGAAGTTATGGACTTTCTGTATTTGAGATACAAAAACAAATTTACGAAATCTCCTTCAAGTAGCAAGTCGAAATGTGTTGAAGAGCCATAGAGATACAAATTAACTTAACGAAAGTTAATTTGTGTGGGGTTGAGATAAAAGTTTGTAGTTTAGTATCATCTAAACTAATCATGATCACATCTAATGATGAAATTGTTCTAATTTAAATAAGAAACCATCCAAGTGCTGTTGGGAAATTATTTAATTTGCTATGTGGGCCGGACTATATGTGTAGAGACCGAATCCATTAGGGTTTGTATTTGACGATGAACTCAATATATATAGAAACTATCTATAGGGTTATGGTCCCCAACTCATATGCGAGTTTCTCATTCTTTGTGTCATCTCATCAATACAAGAATACAAGAGAAAACATATTAAAGAAGAAGATCCATAAACCCACAATCAAGAATCAAGAAGAAGGTTTGGAGCAATCAAATTGAAGATTTAAAGATCAAGATTCATTATTCAAATCAGAAATCAATGGATCAAGGTATGTTCCGCATTATTTCAGTTTCTTGATGATTTGACATGAAGATCTTGGCAATTATTTAAAGTTTATAAAATTTAAGTTTCATGAATAATTTCAACAAGTGCACCTCTAATTATTCAATGAATTGCTTAGGAAATTTTATCACACAAGTAAAATGAGTCATGTTTAAAAAAGGGGACTCAATCAAACTAATGCAGCAAAGTATAAAACATAATTTGTTTAGAGCTCCTTCTAGATTCCAAAACTCTATTAGATATAGCGACTATCGCGTACCAAAATTGGACTCTGCCACAAAGGCTCTTATGTATGGGGATCTCTATTAGAGGTTGATGTCGAGTCTCTAGCTCTACAGGAGGTACTCAATTTTGAGCAGCTTGGAATTATATTGATAGAGGTAAAGTGTGATTAAGTTAGCACGATTCAATATCTAGATTCTAATATCATTTTTTTCTTCCAAAAGCGAATTTCTCACATGATGTAATAGCTTTGTTACGAGATGTTGGCAGTGATTCATATCACTATATTCCTCGCGAGGGGAATAGGACGAGAATCCTAACCAAAAAGGATAATGTGGTATATGTGTAAACAAGTAATGTGAACAGTGGATATGTTCGCTTACTTTCAATTACTTTTTCCTCATAATTTGAGTTTGAATCCAATGTGGAAGGTAATGGTAAGAATACTGAGACAGAGGAGGAGCTGAAGAATTTCAAGAATGCATGTGACCCTTTCACCGAAGATTTTTTTCTAATTTCTCAATCGGTAGAAATAACAATATAATTTTTAAAATAAAAAATAGGTACAAAATGATAACGTTCAAAGGAATTTTATTGAAGAGAAGCGGCAACGTGAATGCATGTTGCTAAAACATTAACTGTAAAACAAGTAACGCAATGAGCGATGGACATTAATAAAACATCAAAGGCTGCAACGTGCATCCTATGGCAACAAATTCTGGCCATTGTAAAATGCTATTTTTTCTTGTAGTGTGGGTTGCCCTTTGGACCAATTTTGAACTGTACTAATCCACTTCACCTCAGGCTGCCTATAGAGTGACCTGCCAACAACTGTAAGGGCCAATGGAGATCCTGAACAACCTCTGACCACCTGACATGCGATTCCATAAGCAACATCAGTTAAGGTTTTATAGTAAATAAATTTCTAAAAAATCCGTTAGAAGAATTTTTACATCTTAACCAAACCAATGAGTTTTGACATCAAAAGTTGTCACTCTAGGTGTAGTTTAATATTTCTGGTAGAATAAAAATGCTACAATAACATGATAGAAAATTGAGCCACGCACAGAAAAAATGAGCTAAGTTGCTCGAAAGATGCATTATAGCAGAGAGAATGCTTTTACCTCTTCTACCAGATGTTTTTGCACAGTACAGATCCCATCTTTAAAAGCATAGTGAAGAAACAGGGTCATTGCATCTTGATGATTCAACATATTCAATTTATAAGTCCATTCAAATCTTGGAAACACAAATCTCGATGTAACCAAAATTTTATATCCAGGTATTGGAAGAAGGAACTGCTCAATGACTGACTCAGATCCTGACCACATATCTTCCAGGACTAATAGTATGGGAGCTGGTCCTATTTGCCTCATGAAAAACTGTTCTAGTTGGTACATTGCATCTTCATCACTTTGAAAGATAGGCACATACTGGTTTTTGTTACTCTGAAATACTTTTTGAACCATTCGCTGGAGGTTAGGTGTTTTTGAGATTGTCTGAAAGAAGATATTATTCCCATATATACCTATGCAAAACATGAGATAATCAAGATACAAGTGGATAAAGGAAATTAGGATTATTAGCAAAAAATATCCCCATCGTTTGTACTCATTGTGGATATTGTCCCTATCGCTTCAAACTTGACATTTACCCCCTCATTTCGAACCTTTCTTACAGAGTTGGTCCTTTCCGTCATATTCCGTTAAATCTTGCTGTGAAATATAGTTAATTATTGCAAAAAGTCCCTATCATTTGCCTCCATTGCACAAATTTTCATATTGATTCAATTTTGACAATTTAGCACTCAAATCGACCTTTCATTGCACAAAAAGTCCTTACCATTAATTTTTCTCCATTAAAGCATTGTAAAATGACTAATGTATCATCCTCCTTAAATATTGAAATAAAAAGAAATAAATAATGTAAAAACTTGTATCTAAAGTTTGAATTAAAAAAAAAAATACAAACGAGTTTCAAGTAAAATAATTTAAATATTCTAACAAAAGAAAAATATTTTATCTTATCAATTAACCTACCTATCGTTACACCTATCCCCTACGCTCCACAACAACCACCACTACCAAAATAATTAAAAAGAAACTTATAGTATAAAAAAAAGAAAAAATATAGGAAAATTTAACTACATTCTGCAAATTCTTGTTTCTATCTTCTGCTGATCACACACACACACATACTCAATATGTCAATTTTTGAATTTTATTCTAATTTTGTTAAAGAAAAGATAAATTCCTATGTATGAGGCAAAAGAAGCTTGGACAAGGAAGAATCACCATTTTTTTTTCTCTATTTTGGATTCTTTTCTTACTTTTTTTTTTTAAATTCCCTTTTCAATTATTTTGGTTATGGTGCGGAGGGTAAGGGATGGGCGTAGGGAAAGATGGGTAAATTTGAAAGATAAAATATTTTTATTTTGTCAGGATATTTTAAATTATTTTACTTGAGAATATTTTTATTTTGTCAGGATATTTTAAATTATTTTACTTGAGAATCATTTGTATGTTTTAAAAAATTTGGAACTCTAGATGCAATTGTTTTATAATATTTCTTTATTTTCTATTTGTTTATTTAAATATTATGATAAATTTGTTATTTTACAATGCTTTAATGGAAAAAAATGGATGGTAGGGACATTTTACACACACAAAAAAAATGTCAATTTGAGTACCAAAATGTCAAAATTGAAACGACAGGGATGATTGCGCAATAAATGCAAAGGATATGGAATTTTTGCGCTAATCACCTATATTTCACAGGAGGATTTAACGGAAAATGACGGAAAGAACCAACTCCACAAGAAAAGTTTGAAATGAGGGTATAAATGCCAAGTAACTACCAAAATAATTAAAAAGAGACTTATAGTATAAAAAAAATAAAAATATATAGGAAAATTCAACTACATTCTACAAATTCTTGTTTCTATCTTCTTGTTGCTGATCACACACACACATACTCAATATGTCAATTTTTGAATTTTATTCTAATTTTGTGAAAGAAAAGATAAATTCCTATTTATGACTTCAATCGCCATTTTTTTTTTTTTCTATTTTGGATTCTTTTCTTACTTTTTTTTTAAAAAAATTCCCTTTTCAATTATTTTGGTTATTATGGTGCGGGAGGGTAAGGGATGGGCGTAGGGAAAGATGGGTAAATTTGAAAGATAAAATATTTTTATGTCAGGATATTTTAAATTATTTTACTTGAGAATCATTTGTATGTTTTAAAAAATTTGGAACTCTAGATGCAATTGTTTTATAATATTTCTTTATTTTCTATTTGTTTATTTAAATATTATGATAAATTTGTCATTTTTCAATGCTTTAATGGAAAAAATGGATGGTAGGGACATTTTACACACAAAAAAAAAATGTCAATTTGAGTACCAAAATGTCAAAATTGAAACGACAGGGATGATTTGCGCAATAAATGCAAAGGATATGGAATTTTTGCGCTAATCACCTATATTTCACAGGAGGATTTAACGGAAAATGACGGAAAGAACCAACTCCACAAGAAAAGTTTGAAATGAGGGTATAAATGCCAAGTTCAAAACTCTTCCTTACTTTTTAATCGTACATTCTCCAAATATTTAATAATCAAAACTATTTTATTTTTTTGGCAAAATAATGGACATCAAACATGGCTTTACAATTGATGCATTATTCAAAGACGAACAAGAGTAGTTGTATACACTACTCTAAAGATTAAACAGAACAATTTTGATTCCGTCTGCGAACATAGGTCATATTCGTTTTGGTTCTTATTCAAACAATCTTCTTGTGATCTCTTGTTCTTATGAAGTTTAAACAGCACTTCACAAGAAGATTGCTAGTGCTTGAAAAAATGCCAATTAGAAAAAGAAAAAGTAACAAAAATCAAGGATCCTTAATATTAAACTCACTGATTACCTTTAATTATATCATCATTACAGAGCAATTTCGCCAGTGCAGTCTTTCCACAGCCATCAGGACCCGAAAGCACAACAATTGGAACTCCGTCCTTTAGAAGCATCTCCTTCAGTTCCTGAAGCTGCACGTCCAATCCAACCACGAAATCTGGAACTCCCGGAACACCACACCAACCTGTAAACCCAGTTCTTCGTTAATCAAACCACCATGTAAGTGAAGTTCTTATTCATATTTACAATCTAATTACAATTTAGGAGGGGAGAATAGTACCTGAAAACCCACGATCATTATGTTGGATAGAAATTATTTTATCCATTTTCTCCTGAAGAACTTTTACGCCAACAACAACATTTTTGCCATCTGCGGCCAACTCAGCCTGCACATTTATCTGAAAATACCACAACAACGAGCTTTCAAATTCTTCCAATTTCTTAGAGTAGGAATACTTCTGGATTGGATTCCACCGCTTGATTTTCAAGCACTCGCGAACAAGCATTTCGCCTTGTATGCACCGATCATTGAGCATCTCCGCTCCTTCTTCTCGGTAGTTTAACACTCTCTTCAGCTTCTCTAAGAACTCGCCAAATGAATCAAGCACTCGCGAACCAGCATTTCTCCTTGTTTGAACCGATCATTGAGCATCTCTGCTCCTTCTTGTCGGTAGTTTAACACTCTGTTCAGCTTCTCTATGTCCTCGACAAATGGCTTGATTGATGTCAGAGTGTCTTTTAAGTGGTTGAGTTCAGACCTGAAGCTAGCTAATGTCGAGGCTACATCTAAAACAGCTTTCATTAGAAGATCAAAAGCTACCCCTCCGAGCAAATCCGCCATTTGTGCGTTGAAGGGAAACAGCCCTAGTTGAAAGTTGTTATGGGAATTGAAAGGAAGGAAATGCTGATCAAAGAGAAATTGTAATCAAGAAGAAAGAATATACATAAAACCTGTAGCAGTTCATATATTCTTCATTTGATAGCTTGTTTGCCCAAGCTTAAAAGCGGATCCAAATTACTTATATTTTTTAAGCTCAGCCAATCATGCTTAGTAAACTAACTACCTGATTATATCTCTTCTATATATAAAGTGTGTATCTAACAGAATTTGTTGTTTTAATGGAAAATTTAACGGATTTTATTGTTACCCCTCCGAGCAAATCCGCCATTTGCGCGTTGAAGGGAGACTGCCCTAATTGAAATTTGTTATGGGAATTGAAAGGAAGGAAATGCTGACAAAAGAGAAATTGTAATCAAGAAGAAAGAATATATATATAACCTGTAGCAGTTCATATGTTCTTCATTTTATAGCTTGTTTGCCCAAGCTTAAAAGCCGATCCAAATTACTTATATTTTTTAAGCTCAGCCAATCATGCTTAGTAAACAAACTACCTATTGAAATGTCATTACAAGTGCAGTTAGGCCTCGACCTGGTTCGGATTGGGATGATTATATATATATATAGTGTAAATAGTAAAATGTTGATTTTTTTTTCAAAATCACCCTATACCAACAAATAATAACAGCAAAATGAAAAACAATGCTACAATCTAAATTTGGAGTTCACAATAGACGATTCTTCTCATTGCTTTTCTTATCTTTTGGAATTTTGAGTTTTAGTAGAAAAAGTGTAGATGGTGAACAAGTTATTTGGGAAAAATTATATTTATGTTTTTATTATTTTATTTTTAAGTTTAAAAATATTAATTTGCAAATGAATATATATATTAACAGGTTAATTAACGGGTTGATTGCTTAAACTGCAACCAAGCCGACCCAATTTGGATTGGTTTGGTTGATTTGATCGGTTCTTCGATTTTTTCCCCACTCCTAACTTACTAAATCGACTCATAGTTAAGTCCCCATTTGTTTAGTAGAGATTCTTTAAAATTCATTCTCTTTATATATACATTCTTTAGATAAAATAATTTTACATGTTTATTCATAATTTTTTCCTACTTTTAATCAAACATTCTCCAAATAAATCATTTTTCACAAATCTATTATGAGAAAATCTACCTTCTAAGTGTAGTTTGTTTTGGTTATGAGGACAAGTACCAATTATGTTAGCCTGTTTACAAGGTGGGCCCTTGGCTTTTTTGTTTTAGCATACGTGAGGACTCTCAAAGTATGGACTGTTTAATAACCATTTCACTATTTAATTAACACATATATATAGGACTAGACATATTCATACAAATTAAATAGTAAATTTCAAGCTTGTCTTGTAAATTCAAATTACTAGGATTGCATCCATTTATTGTGATCAATCATTGTTTCGATCGATATATTTTGACGATTTTTTTTTTTTAATTTCTCGTTATTCATAATATGATTCAGTACATCAAGTGCAAAAATGTTATCGACAACCTTTTCTCTTTTGATTCTATTTCTTTTATCATAACGACATAATTTATTGATATATCTCAATTTTCAACGTATCATGTACCTGAATCTCTTATGGGGTTTTATAAATTGTTTTGTCTAAATATTTATCAAGAGTATATGTGACTTTAATGGGATCATCTTTGCTAATTGCTCCATTTTCGTTTGGAAAATTTTTGTATTAGAATCAAATATCATCAAGATGTTTCAGCATGCCACAAATTTAACAAATGTAATATTAACTAATTGTTCTCTAGAACGGTAATTTGAGTTGGAGTATTTAAAGTTGGTGTATGAGATATTGTTGATCTCTTTGGTTAGTAAATGCATCTAAATGAATTATATTTTGAACTTCTAGTTCGAATTATCTTTTGCAAGGATTTAGATAATGATGCATTTGTACATTATTTTTAACTTCTTAATTACTCCCTGATTTCTTCATCTAATTATTCCATACTACAATATATGTACAATTAATCCACCTTAAGTTAATTATAATTGGGAGAACTTAATGTTGTCTACTTGCGAGGCGCAGTTGATTGAGAATGCTCGCAGGAAGTAGAAATAAAGTGCTTGACATTATCAGAAATTTTCACCTCTAATGGAACATGGACTTTTTGGATGCTCATGAAGACGATGCCAAAGGCACTTTTTGGTGTGTGATTGCATTCACATGTGGTTGGTGATTGACAACAATATAAACAATAATAATGTTGACATATAACATATTTAATTGATTAATTTATCGATTTAGATAGAACAAAGAGCATATGATCATTCTAAAGGAATAATAATGTCTTAGCTTCTGAAGTTGCTTTCTCATTATTCAGATTCATATATTGAATAAGATTTACTATTCAAAATAAGAAGATAGGTAGTATTGAATAATACTAACTAAAATGTTTTTATTACTGATTCAATATTCAAGGGTTTGGTTGATGTACTATTCAAACAAAGTTCACGTAACGTCCCCGTAATTAATTTGTCAAGTGTCGTTATATTATTGTCACACAGGCACTTTGTTACCACGTGAATTATTCCTTTAATTTTGATTATGAAAGTTAATTCATGTATGGATGTGATACTTTCAAATGAAAAATGTTTTTCTGAAGAATGTAAAATATAAGTATCTCAAAAAAACTTTTTATTTATAAAGAACATCTTTTGTAAACATAACAATGCTACTTATTTTGGCTCTTTATTTTTTTGTTCGATAAAATGTTATTGATTTATTCCTTTTTAACATATTTTTTATATGTCAATGTTTAATCAATTCAAATCAGATTTGAATAATTTTAAAAAATTAGAATATTGAAATTTGTGACTCATTAAATGCAATCATTTTAAAGTAAAAACAGAGAATGAGTTTGACTCACCAAATTTGGAGAGTCATAACAACTCTCTATTTACTTTTAAATATTAACTCTTTAAAATAGAGAGTGTTTTTTTATTAGATAGTCTCTTAGAGATGTTTTACGAAAATGTTATGAGTCTTGTACATCAATATGTGATTGAAAATAATTTTGGACAAAAATAAATTTCTTTTGAACTTTACGGACCTGGCTTTTGCAAGGTAAAAAGTAAGAAAAAGTTATAATCTTCATATAATGTGTGGTTTAAAATAATTTTGAAGAAAATTAATTTTATAATTTTGGTTCTCAACAATCAAAATTTGTTGCATTGTTTAAAAGGTTAGGACAAAGTTGTGATACGTAATATAGCTTGGAGATTATTTATGCAATGTTCGTAAAATAAATAAATATGTAAAGACAAATTGTTCTATGTCAATAGATGTGATTACAATTTTTTTTGTTAAGAACATAATCATAATAATCAATGTATGAAGTCATTCACATGCCAAGTCCTAAATTCAAGAAATAAAAAATACAATGGTTTTACTTTCAATTAAAGACGTGTTTTTTAGATTTGAAGTGCTGGATAATGATTTAGCTACGGTCAACTCTACAAAATATAAGTATAAAAGTAATAATTAACTGAGGAATACACCTATAATCAATTGAGAATTCATTAGAAGAACGTGAAATGTGAGTCATAGTTTATTTAGTTTTCTTTCTTCTTAGGAGCATCCAAAAAAAAAAAAAATTGGTTGTTATGTACATGATAACAATTAAATAATACTAATATATAATAGCAAATTTCAAGGCAGGAATCCTTATTTTTGGCGTGCGACTAAATTCCCAAGCGATTCACATGTGATCAATCATTGACGGCAATATAAATAATAGTAACAATTTGAACATTTAAACTCTAATTTCATATTGAGTCTTGAATTGGTATGAGCCTGTTTGAGCCACATTCTTAGAGAAAAATACATTTTGTAATAATAGATTGATAGAGAATTTGTAATTAAAAAATAAGGAAGTTTGCGTGTAATATTATTTTATTAAAGAATGTGCTGTTGAAAAGAAGACAAAAATGTATTTTGAAAATATTGAGAATCAAACAAGTCCTAAAATGGTTAATCTTGCCCTTGCTAAAGAGTTAAGAGTATAAACTTTTATATATTGGTTATTATTTTCATATATAAGCGAAAAGTGAGTTGAGAGTAGAGGTCCCACCTTTTTATTAAAGCATAAGACAATATGTCGAGGATGTTTTTGATTTCAACAAAGATTTGAATGAAGTGATGGACTTTCCGTATTTGGGGTACAATAATAAATTTATGAAATTTCCTTCACGTTGCAAGTCGAAATGTGTCGAAAAGCCTAAGAGATACTGCACTTAACAAATTAACGTTAATTCGTGTGGGGCTATCATGGAAAATATAGCCTAAAAAAGAAAATATTTTCCTTGCTTTGACTCCCCTTACATTTTTCTTAAAAACAAAGAAAATTAGGCATATTTTTAAAAATTGAAAAATATTTTCCATAGAAGAAAATAGCAATCAAACACTTCAAAGTATGAATTTAGGTAAAAAACTGACATTTTTCATGGAATATAAACACAATCAAACACATCCTTAGTTAGTGGCAAATCTAAGATTCTTGGTCGGCTAGGGCGGTTGTCGACCATCGACCGTCGTTTTCTACTTTTCACTCAACCAAAGAAAAGAGGCACTGGATACAATTTTTGGGTGCTTCTGAGTAATACCCAAAAGACAAACTTAGCCACCTTTTTTTTCCACGAACAT